GAGTGGCAGCACCTAGTATGCGAGATAAAACACTGGATAGTGAGATGGTCATACCGAGAGAGGGCAGCACTAGCACGTGCGGACGATAAAACACTGATAGTGATGAGTGTCACACTGCAGGACAGAGGCAGCACTTAGCACGTGTGAGCATAAACATCTGCATAGTGATGATGTCACACTGATGGAGAGCGGGCAGCACTAGCACGTGGCGAGATAAAACACTGATTGAGTGATGATGTCACACCTGGACGAGAGGCAGCACTAGTAGTGCGAGATAAAACACTGATAGTGATGATTGTCACACTGAGAAGAGGGCAGCAATAGCACGTGCGAGGATAAAACACTGATAGTTGAATGATGTCACACTGAGATGAGGGCGCACTAGCAAAACGTGCGAGTATAAAACACGGATAGTGATGCATGTCATGAACTGCAGAGAGGGCAGCACTAGCACGTGCGAGATTAAAAACACTGATAGTGATTGAATGTACACTGAGAGAGGGCAGCACTAGCACGTGCGAGATAAAAACACTATCAGTGACGATGTCATACGGAGAAGGTGAGAGATGGCTGAGGAGAGCGGGAGAAAGGAGAGATGACTTGGGTGAGGGAAAGGGATGAGGATACACTCCGTTGAGGCGGAGGAAAATGGGAGGACTCTGTGATGACAGAGAGAGTGGGGGAACGTTGCTCTCTGACATAATTCTCTAATCGAGCGTGATATCTTCAAGGTTAACTTTTAGGCGTACCCGTATATGGATCGTTGTAATGAACCTGCGAGCGCCTATGAAGCCTTCACTCAAATATTGAATCGTATCAACCCCGTAACAGTATTGCCCCCGCTCTGTCTCACCGTATTAAGCTTCTTTTCGCCCTCACGGTTATATGGCGCAATTACCAGTACCTAACCGTTTATGAGCAAATACAGGGATTGAGATCTGCAGGCCAAATTTTGCAGTATACGCGAGCGAGTAATATACGGTAAGGCGATAAACCTGTATAATCGCAGCAGCACGAATGCGTCGCAGAATTGTCACACACAAGTGTGGTAACGTCGCTATGTAATACATACACGATCACCGCACCATGACTGATAATATTTTCGTTGACTCTTCCGGAAAAAACTCAGGTCGTGATCTCCTGCTCGATATACTACATATCCGATCAGCAGACAAGCATGCCATGGACGTTCAAAGATGTACCGTGTGTGAAAGAAAGAGAGAGGGAATGCTCCCGCGTTTCATCTGGAATGTACGCCCGGATGAGCCGCCAGTGGAGTGATGGCGGGTGAAGAGACTGCGCCTGCCAGCACTCTCACAGCTTGTCTCAGCTGTTCTGATCGTTTACCTGGAACCGAGTCATGATTTCGTCCCCCATCCTAGCGTCCTCTCCCGCGTGCTATTAGTTCAAAGCTGCCGCGATGTAGACGACTGAAAGCAACGACGAGCCCGTTAGTTTGCGCTGCCGCTCAGAGCACGATCTCAACACGAAGAACACACTCGAAACACAAAACGTACCTATCAGCGCTCAAGTTAAACACACAATCATAAGTAAATTGCATATTTCAAATTTTTTGTTTTACATTTCAACCAGTGCAGATCGAATACCCACAATGTCGGCCTGCGCAGAGTACCGCGATGCTACGGCACGCTTTGAATCCATCGCCTGCGCGGTTTTTTTCTCCCGCATCTGATGGTAGCTAGGGTATTCTGATGGGTAGGTATCTGTATGGTAAGAGTTCTCGATGGTAGGTATCTGATGTAGGTATCTGATTGTAGGTATCTGATAGATAGGGTATCTGGATTGTAGGTATCTGCTGGGTAGGTAGTGATGGATAGTATCTGATGGTAGGGTATCTGGAATGGTTACGGTATCTGATGGTAGGTATCTCGCATTGCGGTAGGTATCTGATCGATAGGTATTGATGGTAGTATTCTGCATCGTTAGCTATATGATCATCAGGTATCAGATGCGTACGGTATCTGATGTAGGTATCTGATAATAGGTATCTGATAGTAGGTATCTGATGAGTAGGCTATATGATGGTACCGTTATTCTGATGGAGGTATCTGATGGTTAGGTATCTGATGGCTAGGCTATTCTTGTATGTAGGTATCAGATTTGGTTACGTATCTGATGGTAGGTATCTGATGGTATGGTATCTGATGCGTAGGCTATCTCCGATGGTAGGTATCTTGATAGGTATCGCTATCTGAATTGGGTAGGTATCTGATGGTAGGTATCTGATGGTAGGTATCTGATAGTAGCTAGGTATCTGATGGTAGGTATCTGATGGTAGGTATCTGATGGGAGGTATTGTGATGGTAGGTATCTGATGTGAGGGTATGTGATTGGTAGGTTATCTGATGGTAGGTATTGATCATTAGGTATCAGCATGGGAGGTGTTTATCTGATGGTACGTATCTTGTAGGTAGGTATCTGATAATAGGTATCTATAGTAAGGTATTGATGGTACGTATCTGCATCGGTACGTATCCTTGATTCGTAGGTATTGATAGTAGGTATCTGTATGGTGAGGTATTGATGGGACGGATCTGCATGGTAGGGATCTGATGGTAGGTATCTGAGGGTAGGTATCTGGATGGTAGGTTAGTCTGATGGTAAGTATCCTGATGGGTAGGTATTCGATGTACTGGGCTATTCGAGCCTCCATGCGTATAGGCTATCTGTCAATAGGCGGTTATCTTGATCGCTAGGTATCTGATGGTAGGTAAATCTTAGATGGTACATATCTGATGGTACGGGGTATACTGATGATATGGTATCTGATGAGGTAGGTATCTTGATTGGATAGAAGGTATCTCGGTAGCCAGTAGGCTATCTCCTGCTGCCGCGATTATCGGCTTACATCTGATGGTAGGTATCTGATCCCGCTTATAGTGTTTATTCTGATGGTAGGTATCTGATGGTACGCGTATCGTGTCAGTAGTATCTGATAGTACGCTATCTGATCGGTATAGGTTATTACTGGTGGTAGTATCTGATTGGTTAGGTATCTGATGGTAGCGTATCTGATGGTAAGGTTCTGATGGTAGGTATCCTGATGGTAGGTATCTGCATAGTAGGTATTCTGATGGTTAGGCTATTGGTGTACGTATCTTATGGTAGGTATACTGTCGGTTAGGTATCTCGGATGGGTAGGTTAGGTCTGATGCTTCCGGTAGTCTGATGGTACGTATTGCATGGTAGTGTATCTGATGATAGGTATCTGATGGTAGGGTATCTGATGGTTATGGTATCTGATTGGTAGGGTATTCTGATGGTAGGTATCTGATGCGTAGCTATCTGATGTAGCCTATCTATGGTAGGCTATCTGATGGTAGGTATCTCGATGGTAGCGTACTAATATATCGGTAAGTATCTGATGGTAGGCTATCTGATGGTAGGGTATCTGATGGTAGTACTCCTGATCATTAGGTATCTGCAAGCGCTGAGGTATCTGGATGGTCAGGTTTATCTGATGGTAATGTGATCAGATGTAGGTATCTGATGCTAGGCTATCCTGATGGGTAGGTATTCCTGCATGCTAGGTATCTTGATGGTATTTATCTGAATGTGTAGAGTATCGATGGGTTAGGTATCTGATGGTAGGTATTCTGATGGTAGGCTGAGGTATCTGCATGGTAGGTATCCTGATCATAGGTATCTGATAGTAGTGTATCTGATGGTAGTATCTATTGGTAGCGTATCTGATTGTAGGTATCTGAAGCGTACGTATCTGATGGGTTAGGTATCTGCATAGTAGGTATCTGATGCTACGTATTCTTGATGGTAGGTATCTTGATGTAGGTATCTGATGGTAGGTATCGGATGGTAGGTACACTCACCTGATGTTTAAAAACGTGTTCACCTTGTTTCCAACAGCAAAGTAGTCCGCCGTCGTTAGAATGTCGATGCCGTGTGGAATCTGACCCTGCAGCATGAAGCATAATGATGAGCAGATGACGGCGCCAGTCTAGGAGTAACGTATCTTAATTGTGTGCACTCACATGAAAGGAGACTTGCAATGTGCATGCATGCATTCGCCTGTAAACTTATAGGTAGATAAACTCATACGCATGCACACGCACACAAACACCACACGCAGCACACACGCAATGCCACATGCACACACTACGCCACGCCGCACGCACCACATAACACAACACAAACCACACGCACATGCCACGACATGCCACATGCACGGCACGCCACGCCAACAACGCACACATACACAACAACAAAACACACGCCAGCCTATGCACCAGTCGCACATGACGCAACACGCACGCACGCGTCACGCACGAACGCACGCACGCACACGGGCACGCACGCACACTCACCAAAACGACGCACCCGCCACCTGCACATGCCACACCCACACACACACACACCTGCAAAACACAACACACGCAACACCTGCACACAGACACACACACCATACACACACACACGCACAAACCACTGGCACGCGCACGCACATGCGCATCCGCCGCACATGCACATGGCACAATGACACACACAACACTTGCACACACAACACGCCACCCACTGCACATGCACACACACACACACACACACACCACACACACACCTGCACAAACAACATGCCACAACCTGCACACAGACACACACACACACACACACCTGCACGAAACAACACGCACACACCCTGCACATGCACACACACACACACGCACACCGCACACGCACATGCACATGCCACACACACGCCACTGCACAACAAAACACGCCACCGCCCTGCACATGCACAGACACACCACACACCTGCCACAAACAACATGCACACACCTGCCACACAGACACACCACACAACACACCTGCACAAACAACCGCACACACCTGCACATGCACACGCCACACGCACACGCACACGCACACGCACACGCACACGCACGACGCACACGACACAACACACACACACCTGTACACACACCTGCACACACACCTGTACACTAGCTCACCTGTCTTCCCACGTTCTCCTGGAATGCAGCGGCGGCAGCGCGTCTGCAGGTCACCTCTCGATCGAACACAGTCACAATCATCAACGCCCTGAAACACATCGACACAACATACAAGCACACGTCAACACGAATACCCTCGGTCGACGGGGACATGTGGAACGAATCCACGACCGCGTCGAAGTCAATTGAAAAAATTGTTTGATTTTAAGGCTAGAATAAGGGTTAGGGTTACTGTTAGGGTTAGGGTTAGTGTATGGGATAGAGCCAAGGTTAAGGTTAGGGTTAGTGTTCGTGTTAGGGTTAGGGTTACAGTTAAGGTTACTGTTAAGGCTAGAATAAGGGTTAGGGTTAGTGTTAGGGTTAGGGTTAGTGTATGGGATAGAGCCAAGGTTAAGGTTAGGGTTAGGGTTAGAGTTAGTGCACACCTACATACCGTGCGATGTCATCGATGAACAGTTGGATCTCGGCGGGATCGTACGCTCTCGCGAACGCCCAGCAGACATAGCAGGCAGCATCGCGCACGTGAGCACCCACGGAGAAGTTGCCACGCCTCTCATCGTACATGAGAGCCTTGATCACGACCGGCACAACTGTAAACAAACATGTAAACAAACATGTCATCATACGTGAGCACACATCGGCACAACTGTAAACAAACAATATCTGCACAACTGTAAACAAACAACACCAGCACAACTGTAAACAAACAACACCAGCACAACTGTAAACAAACACCACTAGCACATCTGCAAAGAAATATGCATTATGTAATCATGGTCGCCCTTGATAATATCTCATTTACATATTAGATGAGCACACAAACAAGCAGGTAATGTGAGTATGTATCATGTCACTCCACCCATAGTAGTGTTTATATATTTGTTGTAACAATAGATTTTTCTTAGCTAACCAACTATAGCTGTAAAGCAGCGAACACGTGTGCACACATGCCAACACACGTACACATGCACGCACGCACCGCCACACGCAACGCACGCACGCACACAACGCAGCACAGCAAACCACATGCACACGCACGTACGCACGTACGCACGCACGCACGCACACACCACACACAAACGCACACACGCCACATGCACTGCACAACAACACACGCACACACAACACGCAGCGCCACCACGCAGCAGGACCACCCCAGCAATGCACACACGCGCCACGCCACGCGCAACGCACGCACGCACACGCACACGCAACAGCACACGCACACGCACACACACACACACACAACACGACAACACACCACACACACCAGCACACAACACACACACACACACACAACACACACACAACACACACACACACAACATTTACAAGAAATTCTTAATTATAAATGCTCATTCTAATATGAAGACATTTAAAGCGTAAAAACATAACAGCACCGTTTACTCTAGCTAACTTTCAACAACATTTACTTCCACGTTCATGCTAAGAAATGGCACTAAACTTTCCTTATGGCATGTCAATTTATTATCGTTCACCGCCCCAGACAACACCTCGGGGCATGCTCTAGGTCTAGGAAGCGATCAATTCTCTATATCTACTTCCAACGCACTTAGGCAGTAGTCTGAGTTCGAAAATCGCACATTTTTCTTGCACCCACGCTGGGGTTGCAAAGTTCGCATCACTATCTCACAGCTGTGTACTTCATAGCGGGGTAAAGCAGGAACGGCCATGCAAGGTGACAGCATTCTAATGAGCCTGCTACGGTGTCTCTCTAACCGTTCACCATTGTTTGCCACGACGCCGTGAAGAATGGTCTGAGGTAGCTATAATAGACCTGCAACTCTGTAGTGTTGTAACTACTGCAACCAGCACGCACGCACGCACGCACGCACGTACGCACGCACGCACGCACGCACGTAGGCACGCACACACACACAAGTACGCACGCACGCACACGCACAAGTACGCACGCACGCACGCACGTACGCACGCACGTAGGCACGCACGCACGTAGACACGCTTGGCGACACATGTAATGACACGCACGGCGACACATAAGGTGACACGTACGGCGACACATAAGGTGACACGCTTGGCGACACACGTAATGACACGCACGGTGACACGCACGGTGACGCGACAGCTAGCTGGTAGGTCGGCAACTATCTGACTAATCTGAACTAAGCACCGCAGGTTGCAGTAAGGTTACAGTGCGCGGTCAGTGACTCAGGAAGACTACTACTACTACTACTACTACGGCTCACACACACTCGCACACCGGTGTACGGATGGGATAGGAGAAATCGACAACAGCCATGTCAGCGAGAACAGAGCTGCAAGTAGGAGATGAGACTTCGTTCACAATCCACGACAACAACAATAACAGCATCGATATTAGCAGTAGCCGCAGTAACAGCAGTGGCAGCAGTAACCGCAGCAGCAGTAACTGCAGTAACAGTAACAGCAGTGGCCAGCCGCAAGTACAGCAAGTGGCAGTAAACGAGTAACAGCTAACTGCAGTGGACAGCAGCAGCCAGCGCAGCGAGCCAGCAGCCACACCAGCGCAGCGCCGTTAAGCAGCGGCCCCCAGCACTAACAGACCAGCAGCTCTTGCGCCACACCTAACCACGCAGCAGCAGCAGCCAGCAGTAACAGCAGGCAGCAGCAGCAGTAACAGCAAGCGCAGCAGCCGAGCAGACAGCAGGCGCAAATAATGAAAACGCTTGAGCATTTTCACGAACACCAGCAAGCTCACTACTTGCGTGCGCAACAGGACAAGATGGCAGCAGCAGTGTCAGCTGCTCACGCTCTGCACGTTGCTGCCTCCTGGCAGGCACTTACAACATTCCTCGCAACGCCGCAACCTCATCGCGACACCGCGCACAGCTGCCCGCACACCGCCCCTCCGTAGCGCCACCTGGTGGGCCAGAACTGCGGTACGCCATCCCGGTAGTGCGTGACGTCGCACAGGGGGCTCTGCTGTTCTCGCGAGGTGCCACGGATGGTTTCGTGATGGTAAGGCAATAGCAGATCCGTACGAGATAGGGAGTCGTGTCGCGACGGATGGACATGTCTTCGACCTACCGCCTGGCCATTCAAGCGTTGTTAGCGAGGTAAACGCAAGTTCATACTTTCATATTTCATACCTCATACTCTATTACTAAATACTACACCGATTCCATACTCGTAGCACTTGACAAAATTGATAATTGACAAGCTTACAATTCTAAATACAATGCCCGAGTAACTTCACTAAACATTGTATTTCAAGTATTGTATTGTAAGACCCCCACTACATACTACAAGCTAGTAAATCCGGACCATGCTTGGGGTGTCGGATTCCGCACGATTCTGTTGATCAGTACTTTTACAATTCAAATTTAAAGTATACTGCGCAGTGGGGCTGACAATTGATTGTTTCTGGCCAGGCTGGACTGCGTATGCGATTGTTACTCGCGAGGTAATAAGATCTGCTATGTGATTGTTTCCAGCAGTGGGAGCTGGTATGTGATTGTTTCTGGCAGTGGAACCTGGTATGTGATTGTTTCGGGTAATAAGATCTGCTATGCGATTGTTTCCAGCAGTGGGAGCTGGTATGTGATTGTTTCGGGTAATAAGATCTGCTATGTGATTGTTTCCGGCAGTGGGAGCTGGTATGTGAGAGAGACATGTCGACCCTAAGTTCGCAGATGGCAGAAGAAAATCTTTCTCATCGTGATACCCTGATCGGGATGATGTGGCGTATGCAACAGGCGTAATAAAATGGTCTATGCGATCATTGCGTCACGTTCAGACCTAAGCGCAGACCTGTGATTTTTATGGTTGCATCCGTCGCTGCAACTAGCAACGCAAGCCGACTCGATTTCAAACTGCTTCACCGCGTTGCGCTACACATGCAGAATATTCGAAGCAGACTCTAGAGCAAATTCTGGAGCGACCAGAGTATCGTCCACATCAAAACAGATTTGATTTCTTGCAATTGCGTCGCCAACGCGGACCAGAATCGCTACGGATTGCAATTGCATTGTTCCGCAGACCGTAGCGATTTACGGCCAATTTTTAAAGCTGATTCTTAGCCATCGCATGTCGCAGTTGCGCTGAAAAGCGCGCGTCTGTGCTAGGCCTTTAGACAAAGCGCAACGCATGCACCAGCGCAATGCGAATGCACTCCACTTCATGCACGGACACTCCAGATGCACGCACCATGCACGCAGTGACGACCCGCGCAGAGAATGCGGCTGCACCTTTACGCACTAACCTGCACGATGCCACATCACGACCAAAAACCACGCCTTTTCGACTTAGTTTAATAAACAACAAAAACAATTGGTTGTTAACAACATTCCATCTGCCCCTACGAAATATGTATAATTACTAAACGAACAAAATGAAAGCCTGAAAAAGCATCGCACGATGCGCACGGCGGAGTAGTACATTGGTTACCGCACCAAACAACACATACACAACACACCAAACAACAGACACCAACAACACAACAACAACAACAACAACAACAACAATACAACAAATAAAGCAAACCATACAAACAACACAACAAACAACAACATACCAAACACAAACCAGTACAATGCAACAATACACTGAAGCAACGGATACATCGTGAGGCGTTCACCGACTCATTGTTGGTCTGTCATTGATTGGTCGGCAGGCACGGCCCACAGAATAAGGACCTCTCGCCTCGTGCACCGCAATGGTGGCCATGCAGGAGCGCGCCAGCAGATCGCGGACACGCCATCATCGCTGCCTTACCTCGCCCGCGTCAGCCATCGATCGGATTCGGCGCCGGACGTTAGGCACTCAACTGCCTCTTTGTCTTACCGGTAGAATCAAGCCGCCATGCCGCTCGTCATGGCGAGTTGTAACAGGGCATTCCCAGTCATTCATTCATTCTCTGGGCGTTTCTCATTGCAGATGGGATCATAGATACTGTTGAAGTCGTCGATTGCGCACTGAGCTCATTGATTGCCAGCAATGGTCCATGACATATGACATTGTTGATTGCGCTGGGGTTGTTGCATTGCACTGCTAGTTGACATTGCTGCGGGTTGTTGACATCGCTGGCCATTGTTGACATTGCTGGGGGGTTGTGATTGTGGTGGCGGTTTTGACTCACTGACATGTTGAATTGCACTCGTCCCGTTGTTTATTGCACTGGGTTCATTGAATCGCTGGGAGTCATCGGACAGTTGCTTGGACTGCCTGATTGCGGCTTCAGTGTTTTTATTGCGCCGGGCGTTACTTGACTGTGTCTGCTTCCTGGTGTTTCCAGCAGTGCGCACAATGTTGCGCGGCAGCGGAAAACGATGCTTGGCCTGTCTGTCGCGTCAATCTGCCTCGCTAAACTGCCTGTTGCAGCCGGTCACGTCCTCGCCCCGCCCTGCATGAACACGTGGCGCCCAATCTACCAGCTTGCGACTTAATTCGTCTGGGCATCGTCCGTTCTTGAATGAGGCTATATTGTGAGTGCAGCGAGGTTGGTTACCTCGCCCCAACGGGCAGTTGGAGAGGCTTATGTGAATCGGTTCGTGTGTTCGGTGTGGTTAGTTGTTATGTAGTGGTTTGCGTGTGTTAGTGTGTATCGCATGCGTGTATGATATTAGCGCGT